TTTCTTTTGTTCTTAAAGGGGAATGGCATGAGCTAACTTGTGTTTTAGGAAGATATTTCTGGAAGCTAATGACAGATGGATCTGGAGACACTGGAGTCTCTAAGATGAGCGTATCTATGTTTTAACCACTTATCAAGGGTCATAGATAGGACTAAGGGTAAGCTTTTTAGGTAGTATGCACATTAACTCTTTATCTTAAAACTGTTCTCATTTTATAGCCTTCCTTTACATTTTTTAAAAATTGTGGAAAGATATATGTAACATAAAATGTACTACCTTAACTATTTTTAAGTGTGTAATTCAGTATTGTTAAGTACATTTCACATTGTTGTGCAACCAGGCACCAGATCGTGACTTTCCTTTTAAGTTAATTTAGTTCAGTTTTATTAAAAAGAAATTGAAGGACGCCTGGGTGGCTCAGCTGGTTGAGCGTCTGCCTTCAGCTCAGGTCATGATCCCAGGGTCCTGGGATTGAGCCCTGCATTGGGCTCCTGCTCAGTGAAGAGTCTGCTTCTCCCTCTCACTCTCCCTCTGTGCTTTCTCTCTGTCAAGTAAATAAATAAAATCTTAAAAAAAAAATTGAAATTTGTACAAATTTAACTTTTTGGGTAATAATTACTGATGGCTGCTTAACACTTTACATTGTGTAATGCTCTTTAACATATATGATCTCATTTGATCCTCATAAACATCCTTCTGAGGTAGATATTATCCCCATTTTACAGATGAGAAAGCTGAGGCCAAGAGCCAAAAGACCAGACAAGCCTGGGGGGTGTGTTTATCCTGGAGAAACAACGAGTGTCACCCAGATTTATAAGCTGAGGATTTCACCCATCCAATCTGTCATGCAGCAAATATTATCCGAGTACCTAGTATGTGCCCAGTGTTAGGAGAATGATGTTGAGCAAAATAGACATATTCCCTGCATTTATGAAGCTCAAGGACTAGTGGGGTAAACAGGCATTCATCAAGAAATCATAAGAGGCGCCTGGCTGGCTCAGTCAGTGGAGCATGTGACTCTTGATCTTGGGGTTGTGAGTTCAACTCCCACACTGGGTGTAAAGATTACTTAAAAATAAAATCTTTAGGGGCGCCTGGGTGGCTCAGTCAGTTAAACGTCAGACTCTTGATTTTGGCTCAGATCAAGATCTCAGGGTCCTGGGATCAAGCTCCCTATCTGGCTCCGTGCTCAGAGGGGAGTTTGCTTGAGATTCTCTCTCTCTCCTTCTTCCCCTCCCCCTGCCCCTGCTTGTATGTGCACATGTGGGCATGCTTTCTCTCTCAAATAAATAAATAAATCTTAAAAAAAAAAAAAAATAGGGGCAGGGCACCTGAATGGCTCAGTCAGTTAAGCATCTGCCTTCAGCTCAGGTCATGATCTCAGAGTTCTGGGATAGAGCTCTGGGCATGTTCTCTGCTCAGCAGGGAGTCTGCTTCTCCCTCTCACTCTCCCTCTGTGCTCTCTCTCTCAAATAAATAAATAAAATCTTAAAAAAAAATAGGGGCGCCTGGGTGGCTCAGTCAGTTAAGTGTCTGCCTTCGGCTCAGTTCATGATCCTGGGGTCCTGGGATGGAGCCTGCATTGGGGTTCCCTGCTCAGTGGGGGGTCTGCTTCTCTCTCTCCCTCTGCCCTCCCCCCTGCTCCTGCGTGCTTTCTCTCAAATAAATAAATAAAATCTTAAAAAAAAATAAATACCACTTCTTCTGAAAAACCTTTAAAAAATAAAGTAAAATCTTTAAACTTCACAGGGAAAGACAATGTAAAATATCTTCGTTTGAGAGCAGCTCAGGACCACGTATACTTATGCTATATGCATTTGTAAACCTTCCAAAATGATTCACCCTGACATTTCCATGTGTCTGTCTAATCCACAATATCCTTTCCTTGACATTATATGATTTGTATACTGACCCCCAACCTTGTGAGATAAGCAGGCAAGTATGACTGTCTATATTTTACTGATGAAAAATTCGAGTCTCAAAGAGGTTAGATAACTTGACTAAAACCACATGACTAGTTAATGGTGAAGCTGGGATTTGAATCCAGGTCTTGTAACACCTAGATTGTTATTCTTGTAGTATTCATTCTTCCATCTATTCATTCCTTCATCAAATATGCACTGATCATCTTCTGAGTGTCAGCCTACATAGGGAACAGTCAAGAGCCACTGAAGGGTTTGAAGCAGGAAAGCAGCATGATCCAATTTAGTTTTTTTTTTAAGATTTTATTTACTGGGGCGCCTGGGTAGCTCAGTCATTAGGTGTCTGCCTTTGGCTCAGGTCATGGTCCCAGCGTCCTGGGATCAAGCCCCACATCAGGCTCCCTGCTCAGCGGGGAGCCTGCTTCTCCCTCTCCAGCTCCCTGTGCTTGTGTTCCCTCTCACTCTCTGTCAAATAAATAAATAAAATCTTTTTTAAAAATTAAAAAAAAAGATTTCATTTATTAGAGAGAGAGCATGAGGAGAGCATGAGCAGGGGGAGGGGCAGAGGGAGAGGGAGAAGCAGGCTCCCGGCTGAGCAGGGAAGCCCTACACAGGGCTGGATTCCAGGCCAGGACCCTGGGATCATGACCTGAGCCAAAGGCAGATGCTTAACCAACTAAGCCACCCATGTGCCCCTCCAATTTAGGTTTTAGATGAGAGGGCAATGATGGTTTCCATAATATGGTCTGGGACCACCTACTGGGTCTGAATCTCTGGGATTGGGGCTCAGGAATGTCACCATCAGCCAGGTTTGGGAATTCCTTTCCAATTCTAATGCAATGAAGAGAGAGGAGCACTGTATTAGAGAAGGAGGTGGTGCAAACAGTTAACATGACTAAGGTTGTGGCTGTAGTGAGAGCCAACCAGGTAAGAAGTGATGAAGTACAGGGACAAAGTGATACACTTGAGGATCATTAGAAAGCATGGGCAGGACAGTGGCTGAGGTTCAAAGAACTAGAGCTGGGATTCCTGCCTGGGGCCTCATGCTCTGGAGCCTGTGCACTTTATTGCACATAGACTTTTATAACCATGTCCCGATTTTAAATATTTATATTTACATCTATTGGCCCTTGTTTTGCAGATCTCCATCTTATTTCAAACTGTCTTCAAGTCTTGTATTTCTCCCTCACTTTCATAAAGCCTAGGAGAGACATTAGGGACAGACAAGGAAGGCCTTACAAGCTTTAAAATATTTATTTCTTTGGGGCTGGGTGCCTAGGCAAGGAAAAAATAGATTTGATTAGACAAGCACAAACTCTGGGAGAGAATAGTAAGATACTGGGGAGATGCATCTCCCCTTCTATAAACCGTAGAAGGCCTCCAGAAAACCTGAAGACAATAATCCCAGAAGCCCAGAGGGTGACCGTATTTCCTCTCCAAGGTTATTACTGGGTTTCAAGCTGGAGCAGTTCAAGAATTCAGGAAACTGTAAAGAATCCACAACAGCTTCAACTACCATCTCCCCAAACATCAACATCAACAACCTTGACAATAAAATTTTTAAAATTCAGGGCACCTGGGTGGCTCAGTTGGTTAAGCGTCTGCCTTTGACTCAGGTCATGATCTCCGGGTCCTCGGATGGAGCCCCGCATCAGGCTTCCTGCTTAGCAGGGCATCAGCTTCTCTCTCTCTCCCTCTGCTCCTCCCCACTGTTCATTCTCTCTCTCTCAAATAATCTTTTTTTTAAAAAAAGATTTTATTTATTTGACAGAGAGAGACACAGCGAGAGAGGGAACACAAGCAGGGGGAGTGGGAGAGAGAGAAGCAGGCTTCCCCTTGAACAGGGAGCGTGATGTGGGGCTCGATCCCGGGACCCTGGGAATATGACCCAAGCCAAAGGCAGACGCTTAACGACTGAGCCACCCAGGCGCCCCAATAAATAAAATCTTTAAAAACATATTAAAAGGGGGGCACCTGGGTGGCTCAGTCGTTAAGCGTCTGCCTTCGGCTCAGGTCATGATCCCAGGGTCCTGGGATTGAGCCCCGCATCGGGCTCCCTGCTCCGCGGGAAGCCTGCTTCTCCCTCTCCCACTCCTGCTTGTGTTCCCTCTCTCGCTGTGTCTCTCTCTGTCAAATAAATAAATTAAATAAATAAATAAATAAATAAAAATAAAAATATATTAAAAGGGGTGCCTGGGTGGCTCAGTTGGTTAAGCGACTGCCTCTGGCTCAGGTCATGATCCTGGAGTCCCGGGATCGAGTCCCGCATCGGGGTCCCTGCTCGACAGGGAGTCTGCTTCTCCCTCTGAGCCTCCCCCCTCTCATGTGCTCTCTCTCATTCTCTCTCTTTCAAACAAATAAATAAAATCTTTAAAAAAATATATATATTAAAAGTAGTCTCCTTCCCACCCGCAACCACAGACCTGAAGAGGGCAGATGGGACTATGGGGGATTCGTCTGCATCCGGGGTCTGGGTTTCCCAGGGTCTCGGGGAGGCGAGAAACTGACACCCAAATTTCTGAAGGCAGGCATCAGAGGCTGAGGACACCTCCACTCTCTCCTCACTGCCAGGTAGCTCAGGATTAAAGCGCACTGAGGCAGAGGCTATGGTTGGCAGTACAGGGGCTTAGCCAAGCAGGTGGGCGGGAATGGAGGTGTGGAGAAAAGGATGGGAAAGTGGGTGTGGTGGGATCCTACCACTGGCATTTGGGTTGGGGTGTGAGAAGCACCTGGGGGAGGTGCCCTGGAGGATGACCAATCAGAGAGCGGGTTGCGGCCCAGGGGCAGGACAGGGGTGTATCTTGGTCGAGATTGGATAACGGTCTGGAGCTGGGAGGGGCCGCGCACCGCCCGGGCCCGCGGCTCTGCAATTTATGTTCAGAAGCCCCCGCGGCGCCGGCGGTGGAAGTCGTCTGACTGTGGCGCACGTGCGGGAATCCGACGCTCCTCGCTTGCCGCGGAGTTCCTTGCCTGGGAGTTCCGCGTGCGTTTCGTCCTGCCCCAAAGTTCGCTCCATCCTGGTGCCGCAACCTCTTGCTCAGCTTCTCAAGCTCCGGACCTCGACGTCTGCAGAACGAAATGGTCACAGCCATGAATGCCTCGGACGAAATAGAGCAGATATTGCAGCCTTACAACTTCGAGCTGTTCCGGGACATGAGGCCCCTTTTGGAGGAGTACTGGTGAGACCTGGGGAAGGCCGAAGGGCCGTGCCAGGGTCCTGACCTCGATGACTGCTATAGGAGGTGGGGTGGTGGGGAGGGGAGGAGACACTGGATGCCTGCAATGATTTTCTTAAAGAGCAAAGGTATCGGGCTCCTCTGTACTGGCTCCATATCCCTGTTGTCCAAGGTGCAGTTAGCGTGGCATCTCAGAGATTACATGCGGAGGAAAGAAAGAAAGAATGAGAGAGAAAGAAAGAAAAGAAAAAAGAAAAGAAAAAGAAAGAAAGGAAGGAAGAAAGAAAAAGAAAGAGACAGGAAGGAAGGAAGGAAGGGAGAAAGGAAGAAAATGGGTTGAGGAAAGTAGGAGACAGAAACCCAGAGGAAAGAGTGTAGTGAGAAATGATCTCTGAGGAAGGGGTTGATCTGAACTCCTACTCCCACCCACCTTATAGACGACTCTCCTCTGTCCTTTGTGGTGGTGTGTGCAGGCGTGCGTGCGGGCATAGTGCTGGTTCCAGGGACAGTCTGCCTTCACAATTATCACGCTATTCCCCAAATGCTCCATTGTCCCTGCTGTGGAGAAGGAGACACAGTCAGGGAGCTCTTTCAAGATTACCCCCAGGCTCTTTGACCTTGCCCTAAAGTTCCTCAGAGGTGTTTGTGGGCTGACTTTGTGCTCCAGCCAATTTACCATAACCCAACCAGGCAGAAACTATTGCCACATTCTTCTTATACCAGGCCTCTGGGTTGGTTCGAGGCATGGACACAGCAGCTGTCACCCACTCAATTCCACTGAGAGCAATAATCACAGAAACCTTGAACACAGCCCCTGCCCTGTGCTAGGTACTTTATATACCTTAACACTGTCAGGCAAGGAGTGTTATTTCTCCTTTATAATAAGGAAACTGAGGCTCAGAGAACTAAGTAGTTTTTTCCCAATGTCACACAGCTAGTAAGTGGCAGAGCTGGGACTCCAACCCAGAGCACTCACCTTGAGAGACCAGTGGGCATTCCTGTAACCAGCACCCACCCATAAGACCATTCCCTCTGCCTTCTGCCTGCCAGGGCAACCTCATTCCTCATAGCTCTGGTCTACCTGCTACTTATCTTTGTGGGGCAGAACTACATGAAGGCACGGAAGGGCTTCAACCTGCAGGGACCTCTGATCCTTTGGTCCTTCTGCCTTGCACTCTTCAGGTAAGACCCCCCTACCCCCAGTCTCCACTCCCTGCCTATCCTGTAGACCCTAGACCCTCATTCTATCACTAAAACCTTTCTGGAAACCCCAAGTGAGTCAATGCCCCAAGTTGCCCTCTAACTCTTTCCCTAGCCCATTCCCTCAGCTCCAGCTCCCTCCCCGGCTTCCATCCTCCTCCCACATTACCCTATTTACTTTCTTCCCCAGGCCCCATACAGGCAGCCTCTGCTCTCTCTCATGAGTCCTCTTGTGCTCATGGAGTCTGTGTACTTTTAACAATTTTCTCCAGCCTCTAATGCTCTCAGAATCTAACACCCTCTCCCCCCACTCCCCCCAAAAAAACCCTCTCCCAAGACCTTCCAATAACTTCTGTAGCCCCTCCTTCCCAGATTTCATCCCCCAAACTCCTTCCGTCTCCCCAATCCTGTTGCCCATCCCCTCCCATGTTCCTACCCATCCCAAGAACCCTAGTCCCTAACTCAGTTTTCAATCCCATCCTCCAGCATTCCCTGGTCCTTCCCCTTCATATCCTCTAGATTACTGGTTGGATCCTGGCCCCAGGATCTCAGAAGCTGTGACTCATTCTGCCGGAAGGCGGAAGTGGTGGAGCTTGGGACAGTGACCTGCCAGGCCACGGGGGAAGGGTGAATTGGTGCCTGGGGATGACCCTTACACCCTTTTCCTCTATCCCACTTCAGTATCCTGGGGGCACTGAGGACATGGGGCCATATGACTACCCTGCTACTTAAGGGGGACCTAAAGCAAACTGTGTGCTTCTCCATCTTCGCCACCACTCCCATAATCAGATTCTGGTCCTGCCTCTTTGTTCTCAGCAAGATCATTGAACTTGGTGAGTGGCACGTCTTTGTCTCTCTGGTGCCCAGTCAACTGCATCCCTTCTCAGGGCCCCCCCTACCACCCCCATCACATGGAGAGTCCCTTCCCCACCCCTGGGTCCTAACACCTCTTACCCAAGCCCCTCTTTAAATTATTTGCCACAAAGACCCTTCTCCATGCCCTGAGAATTCCCCCATGTCCCTATATCCATCATGGAGGGTGGTGCAAACACTGGTATGCCAGCTATGACTCCCCATCTCCCAGGAGACACAGCCTTCATCATCCTGCGTAAGCGGCCACTCATCTTTGTGCACTGGTACCACCACAGCACAGTGCTAGTGTACACGAGCTTTGGATACAAGAACAAGGTGTCTGCAGGCGGCTGGTTCATGACCATGAACTTCGGTGTGCATGCCATCATGTACATCTACTACACTCTGAGAGCTGCCAAAGTCAAGTCCCCCAAGTGGTTACCCATGCTCATCACCAGCCTGCAGATCCTGCAGATGTTTATGGGAACCGTTGTTGCCATCCTAACTTACATCTGGAGACAGGAGCAGGGATGCCACACCACAATGGAGCACTTCTTCTGGTCCCTTGTCTTGTACACAACCTATTTCATCCTCTTTGCCCATTTCTTCCACCAAACCTACATAGTGCCCAAAGTCAAAGCCAAGACCAAGAGTCAGTGAAGGGTTGGAGAAAAAGGAGCCCCAGGCTTTCTCCCTGCCAAGGCACCAAAGGGTTGAGCTTGGGTTTGGGAGAATAATTAGGAGGCCTTCCCTGCATGGTTTTTCCCATGGGATCTGTGCCCCAAGGTGGCAGGAGGTTATGTCAGACAAGAAGTGTCAGCCGTGGGTGGGGTGTAATCTAGTACTTTGATGTTTCTATTTTTAATGTGAAGGCCAAGCAAGCCCTGGGATGGGGGTAGAACTGAGGAGGATTTCCAGAGCTGAATTTATATTTCTATCCAGAAATCTTCTTGCTCCATTTTTAAATTAAAGATTTCAACAAGTCTTTTTTGGGGGTTTTGAGATTTGGGGGAAGAGGACTGCTGTGATGGGAGAGGGCTGCTGGCAGCGGGATGATCACTGAGTGAGAAGCCTAAGGAGGTGTGAAGGTGTGTGGAAAGATGAGAGGCACACACACACTCAATAAGAATTCTAGGCCTGGTAGGCACTTAATAAATGTCTGTTACAGACCAGAATTTTATTGCTATTAGAGACCCAAGCCCCTCATAGGAACAGTGAAAAACAGGTGCAGAAAGGCGGTGTAACTTATCTAAGGTCATAGTCTTCCTAAGTTGCAGAATTGACACCTGCAAGCAAGCGTTCCAGACCAGAACTTCCTGTTATCCTCCATGAGACCACGAGGTGGCGCCGCAGCACCAGCTTTGGCCAACGCCAGCCAAGTAGCTAGTCCCTAAGCCACACCTACATACTCGCACGCAGGCACCCCCCCCCCCCCCAGGAATCCCCCAGCTGCCCCATCCTGGTGTTGGGAGCTGAGAGGGGTCTGAAGCCCTAGAATCCCGGGCCCTCACTTCTTTCCTGTACACCAGCTCTCCTTTAGACATGGGGTAGCCTGAGGGGAGGGGGCTCAACCGCAACTTTGAATCACCAGGCCTTTGGCAGTCCGCGCACGTTTATTTCATTTATCTTTGAAAATGGGGGAGGGGAGTCTGGAGAAGGCGGGGTGGGCCAAGGGTCACTTGGCCCCCGGGGAACTGGTCCCTGTTGCTGGCCTTAGTCCCAGGGGCGTGGACTGTGTGTAGGGTGTGTAGGGCCCAGTCCATCCCTCAGGGCCGGCCGGGGGGAGGCTCTCTCCTGAGCTGGCCGCCCACCCCTCCGCCCTCCCCGAGCTGCCCCAGCACCCCTCTCAGACCCCGGGGTAGGGGCAAGCCAGTCAAGACGACCCCAGTTCGGGGAGGCTGTGAATTCTCGCCCCCGCCCTCGGGGATGGTCGACGGACCGGGCCGTTCATACGGGCCGTTCCACGGCGTACTGGCACGGACTGAGGTTGGCGGCCGGGGGCGGCCCGGGCACGGCGGGATAGCTGAAAGAGGCGTGCTGTTTGGCCTTGAGCCTCAGGCTGGCCAGACTCGAGTTACACGGGTCCCGATATACGTAGGGGGAGGAGGCGGCTGCAGCTGCGGCTGCAGCGGCCGAGGCGTAAGGGCAGGATACTGCCCCGGAGGACACTGCGGCCGGAGCCAGCCCGGGGGGCCCCCCGCCCAGGCCCTGCAGGGCCCCGGGCCCTGGCACGGTGCCCGGGGCGGCTGCGGCCGAGGGCACCATGGAGGCGGCGATGGAGCTGGGTGGCGAGAAGACGGGCTGCGAAGCCAGAGGCCCCACGTTGACTGAGTTGAAGGCGAACGGGAAGGTCTTGGCGGCGAGCGGCGGGCCGAGCGCCTTGGGTGGCCAATTGCCATACGAGTAGCCCGGGTACACCTCCTCGTAGGGCGGCACCAGCCCCCCTAGTGGCGCGGCGAAGCCGCCCTTGCACAGCTCGGCTTGCTGGCTGCGCTCGCGCTTCCGCCACTTGGCGCGCCGGTTCTTGAACCACACCTGCGGGCGTTGGAGAAAGGCTGTCAGGGCCGGAGCCGGGCGGGGGGGCCGACCTGGGTCCGCGCGGCTGGCGGCGGGGTCACCGAGACCGGGGTTCGGGCCAGGACCGCGCCAAGGATAAACAAAACGGAAGCGGGGCGGCCAGGGGGTGGGAGGAGCGCACCGAGTCAGTAGGCTGAGAACAGAAGTGGGCGGCACGACTGAGTCAGGGGCGACAGGGCCGGGCGGGGGGGCGGGCGCGTAGGATGGAGTCAAGGAGGGGTGAAGAAGAGAACGGGAGACAGTGCCGGGGGAGAAGGAACGAGTGGCCTGGAGCCACAGGGTGGATGGAGTCAGAGCAGAGGCCGGAGGCTGGTGCAAAGGAGGCTGTGCGGGGCAGCCCACAGAGGCAGGGGCACGTCGGGTGCTGGGCTGAGGATAGGCAGTCAGGGCGAAGCGCAGGCTGCTGGCTCCAGGGCAGCTCGCTGAGCGGCCGGTGAGAAGGAGGCCCCGGGCCGGAGCGGGAAGGCGGGCGGGGGCGCGGGGCAGGAGAGGGTTGCGGGTTTGGGAGGGCCGTACCCTCACGCGGGCCTCGGTGAGGTTGGTCCACACCGCGATCTCTTCGCGCGTACTCATGTCGGGGTAGCGGTTCCTCTGGAAGGTCGCCTCCAGCTCCTGCAGCTGCTGGCTGGTGAAGTGGGTGCGCTGCCGCCGCTGCTTCTTCTTCAGCGAGCCGTCTTCCGGGGAGCCGCCGGGCAGCGAAGCCGAGGCCTTCTCCGAGTCTGGGGGCCGAGGTGGGGGCAGGTCACAGGCCGCCCAGGCCTGCGCGGATTCCGCGGCTCAAGGACCTCCTCCACTGACCCCTCACTCTCCCACCCGGCCTTCCAGGGCCAGATCCCACCCCCAGGAGGGACTGAACTGTTCTCTCCTCTACCCCCAGTAGGGGGTGCGCTCACCACTGTGCTCTGGGCCCTTGCAGCCGTGCTCTGGGAGTGGCGGGTGGGGAGTGCCCGCATCTGACAGCGAGAGGGCCGGGCTCCGGGCCTCCGCCTCGCTGAGCAGGCCGAACTCCATGGAGGGAGGACTCTGGAAGGGAGAGAAGACACAGGCCAGGTTGATGGGGATAAAATCTCCCGGTTATCGGGTTCCCAGTAGTGTTTCCCCTCAAGTTCACTGCCCCTTTCTCAGCTACCGACATAAACCTACCCCTGTGTGGGGTACCCTAGGATAAAATAGGGAAACAGCAGCCTAAGGGGAGAAAGGTGTGTACCCAGGGGTATTACGCACAGACATGCACACTAGACTGTGTTTTGTTCACTGCTGGGCACCTAACTAGAACTCTGCCTGGTGCCCAGTTGGTGTTCAATAGATATTTATTGAATTAGCTAAAGAAAACCACGCTATTGCGCACCACACACTGTATACCACATCCTCAAAAACTTCAGTTCCTTCTCACATGTATGTCCAGTATCCACACAAACTCATACATGCCCCTCAGCCAATCACACCTGAACACAGCCTGAACTTCTGTTACTCTCCGGTGGGACAGATTTGATTTTGAAGCAGACCCAGTATGTCTCGCATGAGGATAACCACTGCTATTATTTATGAATACTTACGATGTGCCTTTACCTCATTATCTTTCTCCTCACAAGAATGCATCAATATTGAATATTATCACCCTCGTTCAGGTGAGGAAACAGACATGAAGTAACCACTAGGGTCACAGAACTTAGTACGTGGTGAAACTGATCTGAACCAGGTCTGGGAAACTCCTAAGCTAATGTTTTTTCTTCATTTGCTTTTTCCATTTGTTTTCCTTGGGGCCCTACCCAGACACCCCCTGAGGGACTGGAACTTGGGGCTAGCCTCAGGGATAGAAGTCTAGCTTGGCCTTGCTTGGGTCTGCCTCAACCAGGGCAGTCCTGCTTTTGCTTGTTTTGTTTATGCTTTCTAGGGAGATAGCATTTGAAGAAAGGATTCCAGGATCAAAAACAAGTTCGAAAGTCCCTAGGCCTTCTGGCCTTGTCCGCTTCTGTGCCCGTGCAGACACACCTCACCCCCTCCCCGGTTCCACCCATGCCAGCCTCTACTGCCCACCCCCACCCCCCACCGCTGCAGATGTGAGCTTCTTAAAGCCACAGTCCCGCCCGTATTCCGTATCCCAGGAGACAACCGGGGTCCCTCTCCAAGTCTCCCCAGCAGGGTCCCCCTTGCTGCTGGCTCTCCCAAGCCCCCTCTGGTGGGAGGAGGAGAAAGGGGCACTAAGTGAGGCTCAAGAACTCTGGACGCCTCTTGGTCAGAGGAGAACCAAAGGAGTCTGGGGACAGAGGAACAGGGGTAAAGAGCTGGCTAGGAGGGGTCCATCTGCCTCTCCATTAACAGGGACTTAATGCAGGCTGTGCAGGGTGGCATTAATGTGGTGGATTAGCCTAGATTGAGATGTGTGTCACTTGGCTGTTCTGAATTTATAAGGAGCCTTTCCCTGGGAGGCGCAGATGGGCAGCGGCCTGTATTTGCACATGGTAATGCCCCCGTCAACCAGCTGAGAGAGGACAGCTGCCCCCCCAACCTCTCAAGTGAGATTGGGGGTGCAACAGAGGTCAAGGCAGGAGGTTGAGAAGCGGTCCCTGTTCTTTTTGCAGGGGGCAGGGTCTAGACTTGGACCTTTCTCTAAGGTTGGAGAGGCAGGACTGAAGGGAACCGGGAAGGAGAGAAGTCAGGCTAGGGGTGGGGATGCTTGGCTCACCTCCCCTTCCAGGTCTGTGGTCAGGAGTCAGAGGCTTGGGGCTGGCCCAGCGATGCTCTGATAGAAGGGACATGCCCTTGGGTGAGACCTGTGGCAGCCTTGACTAGTAGTTCTTCCCAAATAGCTCAAAAGGCTTAGAACTGAAAGCTGAAAAAAGGGGTGCTCTGAAGTCTCCTCTTTATACCCAAGATGCTCTCAAAATGCAAGCCATGCCCCTGGCTTCTCCAGAGGCCATGGGAGCACCACCACTGGGGAAAAAAGGACGATTTGGTTCACCTGTAGGGAAAACTAAATCCCACCGGTGCCCGTTGTCTTTCCAGTCTGCCTTGGCTCCAGATTTCCGGTATTCCAAACTCCCCTTCCCCCAGCATTCCGTACCTGTGTCTCCGTTTCACCCTCAACTGCAGCAGAGGGAGGCAGGGTGGAGAGAGATAAGGGCCAGAGTAAGAGATGAGGCCGAGAAAGCAGAGTTCAGGCTGTGTATTCCCAGAGACAGACAGACACACATGCAGACACACACGAGCCCCCACTCAGACAAAATAAGCACTTGGACTTGGAGCTAGAGGCATACAAACACATACTCTCCCACACATGCGCTCCCACATTCAGGCAGACAGACACACACCGTCACACAGTCTCCTCTCTCTGTGACAGGGACAGCTGCCTTGGCTGTTTTGGAGCTAGCCATTACTCTCCCCCCCCGCCTGGCCCCTCTGAACCTCAGCTCTCAGTCCCAGGAACTAAGGACTCTGTGGGGGAGGAGAAGGCCAAAGGGGCCAGGGGAGTGGTCTATACTCAGTGGCTGCTGGGGACACCCTGTTTCCCTGGGTGGGGAGAAGTCTGAGAGAAGAGGATGGCTTGGGGGTAGAGGGTGGAAACTGCCCAGGCCCCTCCTAGGAAAGTAATCTGGAATAGCCGGAAGGAAATAGGTTTGGAGACAAAAGATCTGGGTTCATGTCCTGGCTCCCCAGCTTACTAGCTGTGTGTTCTTGGCAAAGTACTTTACCTCTCTGGACATATTTTTTCATCTCTAAAAGGGAGATCATACTCCCTTCCCTACCTACCTCTAGTATTGTTATGAGGTTAAAATAAAACATAATATAAAAATGAATGGGGATAAAACTCTATCCAAGTTGCTTCCCCACGCCCCCCTCCCCATTCATTGAACAGATGTCTATTTGGTACCGTCTATGAGCTGGGCACTGAGTGAGGCACTGAGGATAGAATGGTAAGTAAGATCTCATCCTTGTCTCTGCCTTTGCTTGAGTTCACCTTCCTAGACCCTGTATCACCCAGTGAAGAATTCCTCTGGTGAATAAAGGTGAGTACGCTGCATTTGAGAGTGGGATGCAAAGGTGTGTTGTGAATACTTGGCCCTGAACATAAAGGAGGGCCCAGCCAATAAGGTAACAGCAAAATGGCCAGAGTAACCGAAGCTAAGAGCAATGGTAAGGGGAAGAAGGAAACCTTCAGGCTCTTGACCTGTGTAGTAACAGTGGAAAGAGGGGTTGAGGCCGAGAAGAGCCCTGCCTGTGAAAATGAAAAGGCCAGAACACCACAGCCAGGCAGGCAACAGAGAGATAGACGGCGGGGGCACAGGCCTCCAGCGGACTCACGTCCGGGTGGGCTAGCCAGGCAGAGGCTGGGGGTGCCAGGCTGTTGTCTGAGCTGGAGACAGACTGGCTGAGGATTAAGCTCCCCCAAACTGTTGGAGGTCAGGAAGCTGGGGAGTTGGGACTGAGGCCAGGGGCTTCGCCTCACTCAGTGGACAGGGACAAGCAGTAGGTCTGGAAGCTGCAGGATTGGTTGATGCTGGTAGGAAATACCAGGCAGGGGCAGAGAGAGTCAGTAGATAACAGTGGGGTGCTGAATCCAGCTCTGGGAGGGGCTGCTGGGCCCCCCTCCAGCCTTCCTGACACACCCTACTGGGGATGTGTGGGCCAGGCTCCATGGTGTCAGGGTGACAGTCCCCACACTGGGGAGAAGAAAGGACCTATAGGTGTGCTCTGATTCTTTAGTAAAGGCTGGAATTACAGGAAGCCTATCATGGACTGCAGCAAGAACAAAACATTCAAGATATATTAAGGTGGAGAGCACAGGTTATCCCAGGTCAGAGAGGTCAGAGAGGGGAGGCCATGGTTTCCAAGGGACCCAAGCTCTGGCAAGAAGGCAACTGCCACGTGTGCCCACTTATGCCCTGTTGCCAAAGGGGCAAATCAGGGCCGCAGCTAGAGAGCTCCCAAGTAATTGCAATAATGATGCCTGGGCAGAAGGTGTACCCTAGACCTGAGAAAACCCCTGGAAGATGGAAGGGATAGAGTCGTGGCGCCATGGCTCAGCTCAGCAACTAGCAAGTTGGTGATAGAGTATAAACCAGGGCCCTTAACTAGCATGGAACCCGCCTACAAACCTGGATCTGAAAGTAAGCCATTTAAGTTCATTAGGGATGCTGAGGACCCAACCTGTCGGGTCTGTCGAGCTGCGGTGAGCAAATGGGCGCAAATGAAGACAGCTCTAGACGAAGGTCACAGGCCCAAGAGGAAACCCTAAGACTCGAGTGGTGGCAGCAAAGATTCCATGCAGTTAATTTATCAAGGGGTAAATTAGGGATCAGAGAAATGGGCCCCCACACCCACCCCTTCCCTTCCTTCCGTCTTTCCTTCAGCAAGTGTTAGGTGCTAGGACAGATCCCCAAGAACGGTAAGGCACAGACCCTAACTTCTAGGAGTCTACAGTCTGGGAAGGTAAACAGGATGGACAATGATGGGTTAAATAGGCCTAATTCTCACATTGTGGGGGGGGGGTCAGAGAGATGGAAGCCCATGTAAGGTGGTATCAAGTTATGGGGCTCAGAGAATGTAGCACATGGCAGAGCTGGGAACCGGGGAGGTAGAGAAGGAGCAGAGACTTCTAAATAATACAGCAGTACTGGGAATGAGCTGGCAGGTTCCGAGGGCAACGGGCAGCCTCAGGCAGCCAGGGTCTCAGTGTGGGCAATGGGAAATCATCAGAGGAAAACAGGTCAGGCTGCGGGAGCCTCCAATGAAGGGCATGGGATGGTGCTTCAGGTTTGATAGAGTCTAAGCTAAAGCATCTCCAGCTTTTCCATCAAAACCTCCTAAGACCAGTAAGAGAGAACATCACTCTGGGAAACTGGGAGCACAACCTCGAACAGCTGCCACCAGCATGAAATTTCTTTGAGATCTCCAGCCTTACGTTAAAAATTGAAGCAAGTTTTGCATTCTATTCCACACTTAAGTATATTTATTTTGATATAAAAGCAAAGTTTTCTCTCCACGTTCCAAGCGACATCTTCAAGTGACATCACCACACCAGGAAGATGGGCCACATTTTGGCTGCAGCGTCATGCCCCTTCTACTCCTGACCTGCCTGCTCTCCCCATCCCCCACTTTTGAGAAGCAGTACTCCAAGCAGTGGGAGTCACTGGAGGTTTGTAGGCAGGGGAGAAACATAAGAGCCACGGCTCTGGGACATTTACTTGGCTGTGGTGAGCAGAATGGATTGGGCAGGGGAAGGGTGAGAAAGTGGGAACTTAACTGAAAAGTGTAAAGAAGGCCCTGGGGAGGACGATGGAGAGGGAGCAGAGAGAATTTTTAAAGTCGCTCTCATTCCCTCCACTGCCTATCTTCTTTTCCTTTCTGTCCCCATCACCCTCATCGTGGGTCCCTGCGCATGACCATGGGCTCGACACTCCAGATAATCCCATAGCTCAGGACCTAATGGATCTTTCAGATTAGCTGCCTTCTTCCTCCCCATACTCTAGGATGCATCATTTGGAGCGAATGGAGAAGAAAAGATCTGGATGGCTCTGTCCTTCTCTCATGCCTATCCCCAGCTCAGCTCCAGCCTGCCTCCCTTTCCTCTCCAGGACCTGTGTCCCAGGCCCATATTCACATCCTTGAGCAGGAGGCAGGCGGAGATCAGATCAGGATATGTGGCCTGGTGGAGGAGTTAAGCATTTGGGGAGCTCCCTAGAACTCTCTTGGAGAGGAGCAGGGGTAATAGCTGACATTGGAAGCTTGGGATAGGGTGTTCCATCTGTCATTGGGACTCTTCCTATGCCTGGATCAGGGGTGCTATCAGGCTTCTCTAAGACTTGAGACTCCATCCTTCCAAACAAAGATTCTGTGGTTACAGAGGACCTACAGTTTGGGCATAATAATAGCAATAATGTTTCTTACTTCTGTGGTGCTTCTCCATTTGCAAAGGGCTTTCAAATACATGATTTCATTTAACTCTTATAACCACCTTGGGTAGCAGGAATATCCATCCTTATTTCACCTCTAAGAAGATAAATTTGTCCAAGGTGACAGAGATTGAAGAGATTCGAATCCAGTTCTCCTAAAACCAGGGTCTGAGCTCTTTCCACGCCTTGACCCCTCTACTCCAGCAGCCATTTGTGGTTCTGACATGCACTGATCCACCCAAGCCCTGAAGGATTCCATTTCCACTTCCTGCCTCTGCCTCCTCTCTGGAAAGCTCTGGAAGTTTGCTGCCCACTGTGTGCCAAGGAACATTTTCCTATTCATCTTGAGTTTGCATCACTCCAGTTCTACGAGGCCCCCTCATCTCCCATTTCAGGATTTGGGGAGCAAACAAATCTGCTTATCTAGGCCTTTCATTATTTGTAGATTTCCATCCTATTTCACCTTCCAGAGGCCTAAGCTTTGAAGTTTGCTCTCTCTAGCAGCCCCTGGCTCCCCATTCTGTGGATCATTCTCTGACCCTTCTCTGGGTCCATAACATTCTCCCTAAGAGCCAGTGACCAGGCATGCACTCAGCTACATGGCTTTATGTAAGAATGAGAGAAAGTTCTGTCTTTTGCTTCCACTCATCTTTATTATAATGCCATTACTTTTTGGTCTTTTTGGCAAATGCAGAACTTTGGGCTAAGGTCTTCAGGGGACCATCTACAATGCCTTCGCTATTCCTGACTCAGAGACTTTCATTTCACCCATAATTTCAGTGATTTTCAAAGGTGATGAGAGCACAAGCCCCTGAAAAGTGTATCAGAATATGGTAGGAGTAATTGGGGTGTACCTTTATATTTATCAAAAGGGGGCAAGGACAAAAAAGGTTGAGAAACAATGTCCTAGTCAGTGACAAGCAAACTTTAAAACTGAGGAACGGAGGTGAAAGTGTGGGGAATACATATTATATGTCATTCATGGGTGGAGGGTGAGAGAGGTTGAGACCCACTTGCTTAGATTACTGATTGCTAAATACATCACCTTGCACTTATCCCATGAAAACTCAGTCCCCAGCTGAGTTGTTTTGCTCACTTACACAGACTAGGAAAGTTCTCTCTTCTCTGTTCCCTTTAGCTTAACTGGGCTCTGGTTAAAGAGATGGGGTCAGGGTGGGTGGTCACTATATGGGTCCAAAGGAATCAGGGCCCTTTCCCAGCTACAGAAAAAACAAAAGGGACAGTTGGGTAGGGCTGAGACATCCTTCCCAACCAGTCTTGGAGGGCCGTGTAGGCCCCATGTTGACCCCAGGGAGTCTGGATTCCATGTGTCTCCTTCCTCTCAGCCATCAAGGTAGTGTTGGGATTGGTGGGGTTGAGAGAGCCAAAAGGGAAAAAACCCACAGGATTTGCTTTGCTAAAGGGCTGCAGTTTTCTCTTTGGGCCTGGAATCCTGCCTCTTGCAGGGAAGGAGCCTTTAGCCTGCTGACAACCAGGTAGGAATCCAGGTCTATCTGGTCAGCTCTATTGGAATTAGGAGTTGACTCCGAGTTTGTGAGGAAACTGAAGCTGTCAGGGAGGCTTGTGTTGGACTCCTCCTTAGCCTCCCATTGCCCTTGTGGTTCATTTTCCCCTTTCCTTGTCTTCTACTAGTTGTCCTGCCATGGGCTTTCTCTCCTCAAATTTGGATTCTAGAAGTGCCGGGTGATGCTCAGATCTAGTCTGGGTGGGAGAGTGAATGTCCCCTAGCGCCACTGCACTCCAAGGCCAGGCCTTTACTCTCATTTGCCTGCTCCTGGCATCCCCTCACCCTGCAGCCCCTAGGAGCAGAAACTAGTTTGCAAAGTGTGAGCCGGGATTTGAGGCGACCCACCACAGCGAACCCCACTGCACACGCAGCTGGGCAAGGCGCGGCCGGGTACATGGACATGCCACTCGGCCAGGGACATTCTGTCCGCCCCTGCCGGACACAGTGCCTGCTCCGAAGAGACCCACCTAGCCTCCCCGGACATTCTGTCCGCTCTGAGCCCCGCGTGCTGTGGACATTCCGTCCCATTCCATGCGGCTCCAGGCCGAGACCCATCCGGGCCCTGACACCCCAAGCCCGACTTGCCAGCCGCGCCGCCTAGTCACTCGGGCTGCCCAGCTTCGGCCCTGCGGCCCGCACAGCGGCCATCTGACCCGGTCGCAGCCAGGCTCCCACAACACGGCTCCTATCCAAACTGCGAAGCGGCTGGGAAGAGAAGCGTGTGCGACCAGACTCACCCCGGCTCGCAGCCCCTAGAGTCTGAGCCCTGGGCGAGGGGCGTCCGGAGCCGCCAACTACCCTCACGCTGTGCGGCCGCCGCCAGCTCCCCCCGCTGGCCAGGGCTTCGGCAACCCCTTTAGCTCCCTGGTTGCCTGCTCCGCGCCCCCGAATTCCAGGGCGCTTTCTGGTAATGATTTTCCGACTCTACTCCCTGCTTCGCGGAGCTCCTGTCCTGGCTTCATGTCTCCGGCTTCCTTCTGGATCCCTTGAGTCTCCCTCTTGTCTGTCCCCCGAGTCCCGATGCTGAGTTTTCCTTTTCCTAAGTGCTGACCCCGGGTCTGCACTACGCCCTCCCAGTCTAGACCCGTTCCCCAGGCACCGTTCCCCAGTTCAGCCGCCCAGGTCCTGTTTTAGGGATCCCGAAGTTCGGTCGTGGCCCCTCGGCCCCATGAGCCCCTGTCCCCGCATAGTCAAGCACTCACAGTGAGTCCCGCAGCAGGCAGACTCCCGGCAGCGGCGGCGGCGGCGGCAGTCTGGAGGGCAAGCAGGGGCCAGGGGCCGGGCACCCGGCCGGGGTGGGGGCCGCCCCCCTGCGCCCTGGCCGCCGCTTTGCTCCGGTGCTCTCCGACTCGCAGAGGGAGAGAGTGAGCCTCGCGGCGGACTGCCACCCCCCGCCGGCGCCCATTCACTTTATGGAAGCCCAGGGCGCCCCCAGCCCGCCGCGGCGAGCCTCGCGCGTCGGGCCCCGCCCCCTTCCAGCTGCGCCGCCCGGGCTCCACCCTTTCCAGCTGTGAATTTTCAGGCCCCGCCTTCGGGGGAGGAGTCCGGCCGGCGCACCGCCAAGAAGCCCGCCCCTTGGCCAATCGGAGGCACTCCTCAGCATTGGGCCACGCCCCTCCCCACGTGGCTGAAACCTCGCCGAGCGAGAACATTTTGGCAGAGCCAAGCGGGATAGAGTATAGTGGCCCCGGTGGCCCCGGAGAAGTGGGGCCAGGCCTCCACCCTGAGCTATGGGCAGTGGTGCCGGGGGAATAGGGCAGCCCAAGCGCCAGGTGGGAGGGCGCACGGCCCGGGAGAGGCCACCGGGTTTCAGCGCTTGGTTGCCGCTCACGTTCCGCAGATTTTCTCCACTTGTCGCTGTCTGTCTCTCCGCGCTTTGTCTCTGCTCCAGTCCTCCCACATCTTGCCCTTCTTTCCTCTTCTTTCTCCTCCGCCGCTTACTCCTGCTGTTTGTCCCTCTCCTCCCTCCTCTTCCACTTTGAAAGACTAATTTATCTTTCTCAGTGCTCCTCTTTTTCTTCACATCTTTCTCTCTTCCTCTTCTCGGCTATCTCCCGCCCTCTCCCCCCACCTTTCCTCTCTTCCAATTAAGGCAGCTTCGTGGACAAAGCAGGGTTTGGAATGAGGCAAACCAAAGAGTCATTCTAACCCTGCTACCAACATTTTAACCTTGCCACCATCACCGAGTGACCTTGGACGAGTAACTTACCACCCCTCCTACTCCTGCCTACCCCTCAGAATTAAAGGAAGCTCTCTCTGTCAGTACTTAGGCTGGGCACTCAGGCCTGGGTGGTTCGTCTGTTAGTCTGCACCCTTGGCTTGCCCAGGCTATGCTCTCCTAGCCTTAAGAGGGCTAGCATCTAGGTTCAGTCCTGTGGGAGAGGTGTGGCCTTGGTACTTGATAGCTAGGGAGTTGCAAGCAACAGGACAGATGTCCCAGGGAACATGTGGAGTCAGGCTGGGTAGCTTGGGTGACCCTGAGGTGATCCTAAAGGAAATCTGACCAGTCATGTCTCTGCTTAAAACCCTGCAATGGCTCCTAATTGTCAAGATAAAGGCTAACCCCCCTAGCCTGGCATACAAGACTTTCAGCACCCGACCCTGTCTTTTTTGTTTGTTTGTTTGTTAAAGCACAGGGACAGGACCCATGGGCAGAAGAGCTGCCTGGACCTAACCCTGTCTTAATCTCCAATCTCTGACTGGTTTCCTGCACATCTCTCTGGCCTTTCTTCTGACAGTAACATACTTCCAGTCTTCATCTTGCCAACTCCTACTCATTTTCCTCAGCTCCAATCAGGTTTCATTTTCTCTGAGAAACTTTTCCTGAACTTCCAAGATAGCCAGATGTCTAGCTTCTTGCTCCCACAACCCTCTTACACATACCCTCTATTATCCCACCCACTATACTGAAGAGATCAGCTTATGTGATGTCCTCTATTATGCTAAGATTGAGCAGGGCAAGTACCATGTCTTCCTCATATTTCTATTCCTAGGCATAATGTAGGACTCAGTACTGAAATCTGAGGGAGATGTTCTGCCTGGTAAGATGATGGGCATGTTCATCTTTCTCCTCCTCATCTCTAACATAATCCCATTCATGCTTTTTAAAATTTTTTTATTTTTTACAAGATTTTATTTGTTTATTTTTAAAGATTTTTATTTTTATTTATTTATTTGTCCGAGATTGAGAGAGAGAGAGAGAGCACACAAGCAGCGGGAGGGAGAAGCAGGCTCCCTGCTGAGCAAGGAGTCTGATGCAGGACTCAATCCCAGGACCCTGGGATCATGACCTGAGCCAAAGGCAGACGCTTAACGACCGAGCCACCCAGGTGTCCCAAAAGATTTTATTTTTAAGTAATCTCTATGTCTAATGTGGGGCTCGAACTCATAACCTTGAGATCTAGAGTTACATGCTCCATTGATAGAGCCAGCCAGGCGCCCCAACCATTCAGCTTTTAGGTTGATTCATTTTTGGAGGTATATGAGAGCGGAGATGAGGAAGACAGGGAGTTTTGGTCCACTTAGGATTTTCCAGTTGGCTATCCAGGACCTCTCAATCTGAGACAGGCCCAGAAGACCAAATCCCAGTTTTCAAATGAAAGTGGAAATGGTTCAGATGTAGTGTGGAAAGATGTGCTAAGGTGGTTTTATCTTCTTCCTCTGAATCTTTTTGGTTGAAAGATCCTCAATCTGGACCCAGAGTTCAGGAGCCCAATGTGCAGATGCAGGGAGCTGTTGAGGAGTTCTTCAGGTCTGATGTTCAGTCTTATGGATTCTTCAAATTAGAGGAATCTAGAGCATTCCCACATTCCTACAGGTTAGGTATGCGGTTCTCTGGATTTGGGGCATCCATAAATGGGAAGAAATGGGGAGAAAGTTGGTATCTTTTTCCACTCCCTCAGCAGTCTCTTCAGGTCTGCCTGTAACCCTGGGCTCTATCCCAGCAGATAGGCTGAGAATTCCACCATTCAATCAGCAAGGAGAAAACCCTCCTATCTTCTTCCCCCACACTCTCACTTCTAGGTAATTCTAACTATCCTGGCAACCTCTATCATCTCTTGCAAGGGGAGAGGCAGCTGGGGGTAGAAAAGTGAAGATTGGGGTGGGCATCTAGCTCTTCAGCCTTTTAGCATTTCCAGGGCAAACAGGAAAAGCTTCAGTTTCCTGTCACTGGTGATGCTGACTAACCCCCTGATTAGCTTTTTTCCAGGTAGGTAAGGAGCATCCAAGGCTTAGTATGAGGATCAGAGTTGGGAGTCACAGCCTGATAGGCTAAGGCATAAGAGGTAGTGAGAGGCAGTGAAAAGGAGAGCTGGACTTAGGGTGAGGACACCTGGGTTTGTCTCTCTGCTCTGCCTGCTCTGCCATTAACTAGCTATGTGAACGTGGGGGCCATCTTTCCACACTGGGACTCGGTTTCCTGCTCTGCAAATTGAGACCTGAATTAGATATCCAAGATTCCTGCCTCCTCCCATTTTCTCTGTTTCTGGATGATAGGAATGGGCACAAGACACAGAAACAGTTGGGATGGGACAAACAGGTGTATGAGAAGCCAAACGGCAGGCAGACGGGAGGGTGGGGGAGGGGAGGATGGAATAGATTGAAGGACTGGTCCTAGGACGGAAAGAACCCAGAGCTGCCTCGAAAGGAAGTGAGCCCTCAAGGGGCAAGATATTGGCCTAGATGACTTTGATAGGTGGTGGCCGGGGGTGCGCAGGAGAGTAGGGTCGCCCGCTCAGGTTCTCAAAACGGACCCCGCCCCCTTACCAGCAAATCGTAACTTTCCTCCCCATAATGCCCAGCAGCCACTGCTAAACCGCGCACTGCAACCGAACTCTACCTATCTCCACCTTTCTAACCGCCCAGCACAATTTCTCCATTTTTATTGGCTTTTATGGCTGTCATTCAGAGAGTACCCTTATTCGTTGGTTGTCCCCTACCTACCCTTTTTTTCCCTTGTAATCTCGCCTTCTTAGGCTGTACCTGCCCCCCGAAGCCAACTTCCTTTTTCTATTGGGTAGCTGGAATGCCACTTCTCACGATACAAAGCTATGATTGGCTGTGCGCGCCAGGGCTCGCGCAGTTACCAGGCAGCGGGCTAGACTGAGGCTAGTTACCACGTCAGTGAGCTGACAGGGAAGGTAGCCGGCTCCACCGCCCGTTCCGGCCGAGTCTTCCTGGCCGACTGTGCGGTCCCTGACTTCGGCCTCAATTTCCAGGAAACGGGCTCCTTCCCTTCTCCCATCTGCCACCAGAGCCGGGAGAGTCGGTTAAAGACGTCTTCGGGGCCCGGGCTGGACATGAACAGCGGCTGCGGGTCCTGGGACTAGGCCCCGCCATTTTGGATCCGCTGACAGGTCAGCGAAGTCTCTTCTTAGAGTTCCAGTGTCGTGAAGGCCGCCCTGACATCGCCATAGGGAATGAGGGGAGGTGGGCCCTTAAGTTGGACGAGCCGGGTGGGTTAAGAACGCAGGGGCAATAATAAAACAGGAAGAGATTGTTGTGGGAGAGAACTGGGAGGCATGCAGGGGGCAAAGGTCAGGCCCTTGCGGCCGGAGGGGCGACTTCAGCTCTGACTTCTGATCCCTTTCGGGTGCCGGAATCTTTCTTCCTGTGTTCCCAGGCTTCACCTAGCCTTCAGCTCCCCTCTTCTAGAGCTTTCTGTATCCCAAAGAGCCCAGTCCTCAAAAGCTGAAAGCAAACCTAAAGAACATTGTATCTACTTTTTAGGGTTGATTTTTAGACCTTAGAAATTAGAATCTCTGCAGATCCTGTACAGCGTCCACTTCTGTGTGACTGCCTCCTTAATACAGCTGAACTGCTTCATTAATACTGGATGATGAACTAGTGCAACCTAGACTCAGGTAGTGAGAAGAGGTGTGGAAGGATTGAGGCCAGTCTTAGGAAGACCTGGGCTAAGAGAAGACTTTCCACTTCTGGGGCAGCTCAACTGCCAGTCTGGGTCTGTATGTAAACACTGGACTTATCTTCTGAGACTGTTTCTTCCTTTACACAATCTTTTACAGATATTCTCTTCTGGTGTGTATTTTGGTTGGCATTTCCCCCCAAGGTGTTCTTGTCATTTGGCCTAAAGAGATGTTTAATCACAAGGGAGCCACTCTATTATGACATATTTGGCCGAGAACAGAGAGGGATTTGAGTATTGGTGAAGTTTGGTAGTTGGCCTATTATTTTTAGTGGGTAAAAAGGCTCATGAAAGATGTTCAGCTAATTTAAAAGTGGTAGGGTCCGGGCAGCAGAGTGAATGATGGAGCATAACTCCAAAGAGTAGTTTATGGCACTGTGGTAACCTTTGATAAACTGCTGTATTGTAAAA